GATGCACTCTGGATGATGTGTGACAGAGGCCGATCGGAGGAATCCACAAACAACGTAGCAGAAATGAAAGAGTAGCAACACATTAGCATCTCCATAGATCAAGCTTTGTTACAATTTTGGAAGGTCTATGAACTCCACCTTTGCTAGAAGAGAGCGCGAGAAGATCCTGCTGTCGGCAAACTGAGCGTTGCTCAACCATTCGTGCTGGTTGTTGGCGAAGGCTTTACCGGGCAATCTGGAGAGCAGCAAAGCTTGGATGGAGAAGTGCCGATGAAGAAAGAAGTAAATTGAGGGTTTTAGGAGGAGGATGGATGTACCCTTGTCCGGGAGTGAATGTGAAGGACATGCAAACCAAGTAATACCACTCGGTGTGGGTGAGATCCTCTGGAGACAATGAAGCACAGGGCCTTCTCATCTGCTGATTACTGTCGCCTGCTGAGAGTGATTCATACAGTTCTCTCAGTTGCTCGCTCCTCTGAAGACCCATTTGATCTGCTTTAAGTTCTACAGATTGAGTTGTCTTCCTCGTCTTTATATCACCATTGTAGTATCCATCACTCCATGACAACACACTACATAGCATTGAGCATTCACCATGAAAACACAGTTTGACCAAATAGTAGTCGATTATTTACCCGAGAAATCGAAACAAAAAACATAAACAAAAGTTCCATTTTGGCACATCCTACTTCTTTAGATCTCGGCACGATGAAAGATCTTCTTTACTTGTGTAGAAGTTCTCTGGTGACATAGATCTGCTAGCTAGAAGAAACTAAGCAAGACGAGGAGTTTAATGTGATAGCTGGTATCTCATGATTCTTTGTTCGATGCTAAAATAACCCCAAATATTAACAGGATTTCTTTTAGATCCTCAGTTACTCCATGTATCTCAATGATCCATGCAGTACCAAAACAAGAAATGGTAAGAATTATCTACATATATTCTTCCAGTTTGTAACAGAGAGAACACAGTAGATGGTAACCAGTCAACATAGACCAAGAAATGAGAAAGCTGGAGCAGCTTCTTTACCCTGGTTGCCTGGTGGAGGTAGACCAAAAGATTGCATAGCTCCACTGGATCGTCCTAACTGTAGCGGCAAGCTGCCTCCTGAGGGGCTTCTCCGGCAACTCGTCATGCATCTCGGGATCTACGGCCATTGATCGAGACAAAACCTGATCTCCAAGCCACACAAACAGAAATAACCTGAGAAAAAGTCGAACGAGGCCAGGGTTCCGGTCTTCCCTTCTCGAATCGGACTTCTCCTACCAACACCACATCGTCAACTTCATCTCCGGCAACGCTAGTTGGAGACAGAGTGAGAAGAGATCCTAAAGAAGAGTGATATTTGTTCTTCTTTCTCCGGCAAAATGGAGACCCTTTGCCTGAGAGAGGAAAAGCAATCTACAGCAGCCTCGCGCTTATGCAAGACTCTAACGGGGGCTGGACATTACCCTTACCCTTAACAGGACAAGCAGACCGTGGTATGGGTGAGAGGAGCATGAAGACAGCTTGTAAATCATAGCGTCGTCTAATTCTTCCTGGGACATTAAATTTGCACTGAATCCAGTGGATGATCACATGCGGCTAGAACAAGCTCAGCAGTAGAGCACCAATGGCTAAAAGGCTTAGGCATGCAGCACGCACAGTACGGAAAAAAAGGCTTTCACGTAGCTCAAGCTTTCGGTTGGATGGCTCCCTCCCTCCTCTCGCCTTTTGAGGTCGAAGGAAAGGGCAGCGAAACAGGACAGAACAAAGGAGAAAGAATCGCCGTGGAGGATCACGGAGGGGGATGCCAAGCCCCGGTGCGTCGAGCGACCCTTTTTAACTTTTACCGCGGTGGTGGTGGTGGAATGATTGGGGTTGCTTGCTTACACCACGTACGCGGGGAGGGTGCAGAAGCAGCAGCAGATACAAACAAGAGAGCTGTCATGGCTTGGCTGCTGGTGACCTCCGACCCGTGGCGAGGGAAGCAGAGGAAGTGTGATGGAACAGGACTGGTCTTTGTCACCTCGTGCATCATACCCTCCTCCATTGATTGGTGCAGCTTTGACAGCCAACTGTTCCGTGGACACACGACTCCATGTCCGTGACAGACCGACTCGGTATATATATATATATATATATTCTTTTTTCTTTTTTTTTTGGTGTGATAAGAATTTGGACCTCTAATGGTTCATATGAAATATATTTGTAGAGGATTTTTGTACATTGAACGAAAATATATAATTTTTTTTTATTTCGATATCATGATTGGTAAGTGTATTATTATTACATACATCTATGTGTATCATTTAATGTAATAAAATTATATTTTAAAAAATAAAAATAGTTTACTATTTCAAATACAATTAAATTATTTGAGCCAATAAAAAGGATGTGTGAAAGAAGGCAATTGTGGAACCCTACCATGTTATTATTGCAAGACAGAGTGAGCTGGCTCTGTCTCACCTTTTGCCCCTAAATACAGCCTATATTTAAGAAATTGATTTTTTTTTCTTTTTTTAAGGTCAGATAAAAAGAATATATATTTATTTATCATAAAAAAGTATTGGATTTTGTTGGGGGGAAATAAAAAAAATGAATAATAAAAAGATGGTGATGACATTAAAAAAAAAAAAAAAAAAAAGATATTCCTGATGTCTGATGAAGCCTATATCATTGTTGTTGGGAAGGACACAAGTGTCCATTGAAGCCATTAAAGCCAAAAAAAAAGAGAAAGTGAATGGCAAAAGGGGGCACCAATATCAAGAAGTCATGTGCTCTTCTGTGTTCTGTGTTCAATATGCAAAAGAAGTAGGTGTAACATGGCCTACCATGGATCATTACAAATGATGCCTACATGTCTTTGTTTTTCTTATTTTTTTCTTGCCCAATGGGTAGCATGTCACTTACCTTATACTTGTTGCTTTTAATTATCCATTGTTCTCATTATTATCAATAATAATAATAATAATAAATCACAACACTTTTTTTTTTATGATTTTATGTGCTTATCCTTTCTATGCCCCCACAATGTCATGTTGCTCCTTCAAATTTTAGTAAATATATATCTAATATTTAAATATTATAACATGTCGGTGCTTACAACATCATATCATTATTAGTTTGATGTGTCGACACGTTAATCAAGTTGATCATATGATTAACATGATATAATTATAAACTCACATAGTTCTAAAAAATAATATCAAATCATTCCACCAATAAACTCCTTTGCTTGGTATCACGATTGCCAAAATTCTCTATAAAATGTCTCTAACTACACTACCTCGCATAGAGCCTTTTAAACTCCCTAAATCAAATATTACTTTTTTTTTAGTTATACTAATTCAAATACTAGAAATCGACTTTTTTTTGAAGTATTTTATTTAAATCCACTCATTTTCTCGACGTCAAGCTTATCGGACTAACCCGACATATTAGATGACTAGATCATGCTTTAACAACTCCGTGATATCATGTATTTCTCACATTGTTAGCATCAACTTTCGAATACTCCGAATATTTTACTATCATATTAACTCTATGGTAATTAGCCAAATTAGTGTCATTGTAAATTATGGCTTTCTCAAATATATCTATACGTGCGGGTGCATGATAAATTTAGATTTACATGCATAAATATAAAATTCATATACATATATAAGAGAGAGAGAGAGAGAGAGAGAAAGCGAAGGTACCAACTCGTGAATGCAGCCCATTGCCGGCCATGTGACGGGTGTCAAAGCCAAAGAACACCTTTGCAGAGCATTTGTATCTTTCTCCTCGCTGCATGATTGCCATGCCATCGCCACACCACAAATGCAGAGAGGGGATTTTGGCTATCACTTGGATGTCAATGTCAACGACGAAGCTTTGGTTTCTTGCACCACTCCCATGCCATGCTTTTACCAATGAAGTAAGCATTTTTCTTCATTTAATTTTTAATTTTGTTTTCATGTATTAATGTCATCTTAAATTGTGAACGTGTGACCGTGCTAACATTTCGGTACGTGCGATTAAGACATCACACAATATGGTAGGATGAATGATGCGCATAGGACGCAGATACGTGGAAGGAGACACGGGAATTGATGTTATGTTATGTCAGCATCCACGTGGGATCCATGGGATCTAAATTATATTTACTGCTGAGTGGGTTGGGTTGGTGCGGCATTAGCATGACAATGCCAACACACGACTTAACGGGTGATGCCAGAAACTAAATGGGTCCGATGAAATATCCGCTCGACATTTCATTTACTGTGTAGAATCAAATACTTTTTTGAGATTCAAAATAATTTCTACGGCATCCATTTGTCCTCCGTCCATCCCAAATCAGCGTCACGTGATCCAATCCCTCCCGCACATTGTCCAGCACCCAAAATGATGGTACGGTGGGACCCGCCCATCGAATCAATCGAGGGTGTCGTCTAATAGGTTTTCTCACTCTCGTCTTTTTCTATCCTACCAGAAATAAAATTATTATTAAAATTAATACATAAAAATATTTTAATTAAAAAATCATTAAAATATTTTATCCGACACGGTTCATCATCAGTCATTCAGGTGTCTGTATCACCGTTATGTATTCCTTGGTCTTGTCCGTTGGATGGTTTCTCTTTGCAGACTTACACCATCCGTAATATGCCGTCACCTAAACCTGCTGCCGGCCATCCACCTACCGGTCAAATCCTATTTTAGACGTCAATTGACACGTGCGGTGTATCACGCAGCAGCATCCATAGATTGAACCCATGGGCCCCAGGGGTCGGGTTAAGCGGACCCACCACACCCCAGTGCTCGCCCACCGACGAACCCGTTCGACTTAAAACATCGTTCTTTTTCTGCTTTCCTTACATAATAACAAATCAAACTCGATTTTGGATTTAGCTCGAGAAAAGATATATATGCAATCGATCTCTCCAAATAATAATGTTAAAATATTGCATTCTCAGGGGGGAAATAATCCTAAACACAGCTCCTATAGACAATTTGTGGAACAAACTCACATCCAAGATGGTCTCAACCAACACACACCAATTGCTCTCCATATCAATCATCATTTTCCATGTTAAATAATGTGGCAAAATTTGTGAGGATAAAAAGAACTAAATTTGTAGTAACTCACTCTAAAACCAGGTAGTTCTGGTACTTTAGATCACTAGTTTCCTTATATTGTCGGCCATCGCAACCAATTTACAGATGCGGAAAATAATGACTCCTATGTTTTGAATTTATGTGTGATCTTCTCTACACCTTCCTTGCAATCTTCAACTATCCTCCTTGCTTTGTCCGCAGCGACTGAGCCGAATCCAGAGGCGCTTTCATGGAACACATCTACTGAACTTTTAGCTTTGGAGAATACATTATCCCAAAGCTTCATGGTGTGATCAGAAGCCGCCGAAGCCTGCCATTTCAAAGCTGCAATCAAAGAGATGATCTTTTCAATTATCTTCTCGATAACAGCAGCAGATCTAATTCTTAATTCAGCTGCCATTGTCTTAAGCTTCTCAACCAAGCTTTCTCCTCTTTGAATCGTCTCATCAACTTGGGGCTGTTCTAGAGCGGTTCCAACGTCAGCATCACGCACGAGATCCGCATCAACGACTACAGTTCCATGCCCCTCCCACCGCTCTTTGGCTTCCTCAAGTGCTTTGGCCTGCTCTCTAGCCCGTTTAGCCTCCTCCTCCGCCCAAGACCTGGTGGAGGTATACAGTTTAGAATGAGCAGCCTACCAATGGTTGTTTCATTATGCCATTCTCCAAAAGGCATTAAGAATTTTAAAAGGTGCTACAAAAAAAAAGAGCTAAGCTTCAAAATTTTAATCTATGAGTGTCTATAATTACAAATAAAATGCTAAAAGTGTCACTAGACAAGAAACAAAATAGAACATAAAAAAAAAGGAAAAAGATGATGCTTCTAATTATCAAAGTAGGCGAAGTCCAGGCTTCATATTGCGACGAGCTGCGAGTTCAGTGCTGTGGCCAGTTATTTCGGCACTTACACAAGTTCTTGCCACCATAATTTCCAAATATTGCTACTATGTGGTTTCATTAAGTACTCTTTCACTGATAAAATTCACTTTATACATACTGAGATCAAGTAGATGCAACTACAACATGAATCATTTTGCATTATGAATGCACTATATAATTTCTATATGACGCTCCAAAAAATTTTGGCTGGCAACTCATGCGATGCCCTCCGGTTAGTCAGGAATCTAACAAAGTTTATCAGTTTGAGTTGGCTTTATTAGTTTGGGTCGTAGTTAGTTGATGTCACAAGAAATAGCTTGTTTTTATAAAAGACTTTGGCCAGCTGACCGAACCAGCCCATAAAATAGTTAGGTTGACAGTGAAACAATTCTATTCTGGTTGGCATTTTTACCTCATCAGAATGGGTCGACTAGAAAAATTAATTGATTGATCAAATTCAATCTATTCCATAAAACAATGCAAGTAGATCAAATCGCATTAAGTAAAGGCTTTACTGTGTCATTTTAAACATGACCAAAGCTGACTTTCCTATCAAACAGGTTCTTAAGCAGGACAGTGTGCTAGATGAGTGGGGTTTGCTACTGGAATATTTACATGATACTGATAAATCAGGCGTAGGTCAACAAGTATAGTATATTGTGACTCAAACCTTCCCATCCATTGCCACCAACATGCATCTGTTTTCTTTACGAAAATCAAAGATTCCTTCCATAGAATGAAAGACATTTGCAATCTAAGCTCTTGAGGATTCACGACGAATAGAGAATGCAATGTCATCATGCCACTAAAGATGTTTATCTCACTCATTTAATACGAGTCCCCTATACAATACACCTATCCATCAGCATATGATTGGCTAGGGCCCATTTTACTACTACATAGCTAGCTATCTCGTCAGAGGTCATGTTCTGATGCTGTGATACTGTAATTATGACATATCAGGATCTAACTAGAGAATCTTGGACTTAGTAGCCTAACATTAATAACTTCATTTAAGCATTTTGTTCCATATTGTCAAAGTCCATCATCTTAATCATGGGTCAAAGGCACTAGTTGAGTAGCAACAATTGACATAATAGCATCCACTAGGGAACTCTCATATGCATATGGCAAGATGAGATTAGCTCATGTTTTCTGAGATATGAACCCAATATGTACTTGGTGGCACGTAAATAGGATCTTAGGCATAAAACAGGGAATTTTGTAATATCATAATGGTCCCACATAGGGAGCTAATATTGCGTCTACTTGTGCAGGCAGCCTAGTGGCCTACTAATAGTTTGGGAATTTTGAGCCATTTGTAGGTTATTGGGCCTGTAGACTTTCAAGACTTCTAGAGCATGCTAGAAGACAGTGGCCAGAGTACATACCAAAAGGAAGTATCATTGCCTGATAAATGAACGATTGTCATCATGTGCTATCTTACAACCAGAGCAAACAGTTATAAATCTATAGAAAACAGAATAACCACCTCAACATAAAAGGAAATAACTACCTTACCTGGCCATGAATAAAGCCTTCCTCTCAACCTCCAGCTCACTCTGTAACTGGGCAATAACCTGATTCTGGCTCTCTGCTTCCTTTCGAAGTTTGTTGATCCTATCCTTCTCAAAGGATATCTCCAGCTGGTTACTCATGAGACTCTGTAACTGCTCTTCCGCCTCATGCCTCAACCTTGAAAGGACTTCCATTTCAGACTCAACAACTGCATGCCCCTTTATTAAAGCAATATGCTCTTCCTCTCTTTCAGCCTGTAATCTATCTAATTCTAGCTTTGCTTCTTCAGCCAACTTCTCTAGAGCTTTTGCCTTTTCCCTCTCCTTGGCAAGCTCCTTCTCAAAGTTTGCATTAACATCTTTCTCAACTTGAGCTAACAAAGCTGCATCTGCACTCACAGCAGTTTCGGCCAGCGATTCAGCCTCAATACGAGCAAGTTCCTCGCTGACAATTTCTGCTGCATCACCAGTTGCAAGTGCAATAGCAGCTTGAGCCTTTGTGATGGGTTTATCAGGTTGAAATAGTCTTGTGCAACCTATTCATTAAAAAAATGGTAGCAATCTAATTTCTTAGCAAATAACCCAAAACTAGAAAGACAGATAATAAAAACCAGAAACAAATTACCAAAAGCAAGAGCTGTGATGCTTTGTCCCCCAGAGGACAAGTCAGCTACTAAAGCTGGCCAAGCATCTGGATTGATCCTATGGATGTCTATATAGCCACAACATTGGTATATGTCCTGATCAGGGAAAGACATCACACTGGCAGTAAGTACATACTTTATCTGAAATCAAGAAAAGAAAAGTCATAAGATCCTATTTCTTTCTTTTTCCTTTACGTTTATGTCAACTTCTGGAAGTTGCCTTCTTTCAGTAGCCATCTTCCAGCTAATGAGATCTTGACGTGACACAGGACTGACACATAAAATGTTCGGTCATAAGATGTCAGAATTGCTTTCTGATAATGACAGTAAAAGTTACAGTAAGAACCCATGTTTATCACCTTTCAGGGGAGAAGAGAATATAATCCTGCTGATCACTGACAGTGTGACCCAAATCAGTTCTTGAAAGCTTGCTGGAGATTAGTCCAGCTTCTGCCAAGCCTATCCCAGAAACATGGCACACAAAGAAAACAATGAGATAGGAGCATCTTTAAGTAGCAGGCCAAGTCAATTTGCATTCCAATTAATTGTTAAGTTATTCAAATCCATACCTTGAATGCATGGAAAGTCTGGGTCTTCGGGCGTAACATCATCAAAAGCAAGTTCAGTCACATTCTCTATGTACATTGCTGGATAAATTTTTGAAACTGTTTTCCTGTGTGGGAAACCCAAGAACTTAAAACTCTTCATATCCAAGCACAAACACCTCCCAAAGAATATAGGCTACCATACCCGAACACATCCAAAATAAAGAAAGGTTGCTTTATCCAAACAATTTTAACTAAAATATCAAGTTATGCTCCGTTTGCCTTCCATAAGATGGTAAGGGTGGCTCTTGACTTGGTACACCGGTCATCCGTGCTTGATGTTACTCTTATAGTTGAAGTTAGTCTAAGAAATAAAGCGGCTTAGAAAACCCAGGAGGCTTACATTCTTGCAATTTAAACTCATCAAACCAACAAGCAAACTCCCAAAAGGATATAAACTTGAAAGGGGCATAATGCAAGGTGCCTTAGAAACAGCTTGAATTATTAAAGGGTGAATTAATTGTGTGCCAAATTGCATATGATCTCCGTCTAAGAGGATGATCAATGGGATATCCTTAGAGGGAAAAAAAATGTAAAAAATATAGTATAGAGAAGATAGAAAACATAAGAACAAATATACCTTGAGAGATTACTGCTTGCAGTAACCAACCAGCGAGCATACTCACGACGAGTACATATATCACCTGGTTGAACGTCAGCCTCAATAACCTACAGTTTTCAACTGGATGTGATAAAACAATAGTTCCGATACCTCTATAAATTAACTTCATAACATACAAATAAGGTGTTACATGGAAAAATAGTCAGCTCTCTGTCACATGCAAAGGTGAAAAAATAAAGTTTTTCTCCAGCTATTGTTTAGCATTTGTTATTAGAATGTTAGATGATGACATACTTTATGCAAGAAAATAAGGCCATGGACACTGCAAAATTACTACTTTAGGAATGTAAAAAAAAAATTAACACTCCAAGACAAGGATTGCATCCACTGTAATGTTTATCATCTAAGAAATTAAATAACACATCCACATCCAGGAACAAACATCAATTCAAATAGGAAAAAGAGAAGTAGCACTAGATAGAACCATAGGAAATATATCTGCTATTATCATGCTGTCATCCTCTCATGACAAAAGAAAAGGTTATAGGTTTCCTTACCAATATGAAGATATGTTCTTTTTATGAACTAGACAAAAAAAAAATGGAGCACACTGGGTGTGTAACGAATTGGAAAGCAGAACAAATAAATAAAATAATAGTAAAGTTGTGGTTGGGTATCCATCTTTGATGCTAACATACCTTCAAAACTTGTAATGCTGCCAATGCTTGCCCCTGAACCTGATCAACTAATGCAGGAACCAAGACTTTTCCAGGGGATAACTGTTGAGTTGCTGAGATGTGACATGGAGCAGGTATTCCAGAATGAGACAGAGCTTTATTGAGTTGTGGCTCAGACAATGGGCTTCTATCAATTTGACCATCAAACTCTGTATCAGGTTCTTTTAGATTGGGATCTGCAGATATTGATACAAAATGTGATACAGATGACCCAGTTTTGCTTAACTTATGCTCGTCTGGAAAACTAATACTATCAGGTTGAAGCATCAATTGTTCGATTTGATCAAAATCTAAACTCAAAGATGTTTCCAGTGGACCACTTTCATGTGTGTTGCATGATGGTGGATCTGAAGTGCTAACCTCAATAGGAAACTGCATATCATTCTGTGCAAAATCTTGATCCTCTTGAACGGACACTGGATTCAATACCACATCCTTAGTTTGGGTATTCAAATTATCAACAGAATCAGTTTTGAACTGGCTGTCAGACCCAACCAAGAGATCTAATTGGACTTCAGAGTTTGAAGTTTCGGCAGGTTTGGTGTTTCCATCATGATAGTTAGTTATATGATTTGTCGAAACAGTGTCCAAATGAATTAAATCATCATGGGCGATAGTTATGCCCAGATCTCCCGTCACAGACTCCTGCGTCTCAGAATATGTAGTGCCAACCAAATCTTTCAAATTTGATCTATCAGGTGAAAAATCAATAATATGTGCATCCAATTCGGGTGTACTCGCACTGAACCCAGCTGGTACAGGAATTTTATCAATGTCTTCTACCATTTCAAGATCACCTTGATCAGAAGCTCTCTCGGTAGCATCACTGCCAACATCAGCTGATTTAGTGTTGTGTACAAGCGAAGCTTCTATATGGTGTTCGGCATCAGATATGCTCTTACTAGCTTCTTCATTAATCGTTGAAGGAAGAATAAAATCCTGGATTAAACCAGTCTCATTGTCATATTTAGAGACACCATGTTTCATTTATGAATTAGAGTCGGACTAGACTTATATCTTACTTGATCAAGATTCTCATTCGTATCAGAATTTATTAGTCTTTCCTGCTCCATTGATAGTGGTTGCATCTCCTGCTTGGCTCCTGTTTAAAAGCTAATCAAAGCATGCACATGGTTTGGTTATATGTGTTCGCAAAATATGGCATGTTGCTCGAATAGCTGAAAATAACTGAGAGTTTCTTAAGCCACAAGCTCAATCAACAGTAGCTCTTTCACAAACCACAGATATTTATTGATGGAAGGTTAGCAAATATTGTAGCGATGCTTGCTGACAATGCAAATGCACACGATATTAGCATATTAAATTAAGATCTACATACCAGAACTACTCTTACTAGTAAGTGATAGTGTTGCAAATGCAACTCCGGCAGCAAAGAGTAGCCCAGCAAGTGCAGCTCCTAGCACACCTGAAAGTGAACTTCTCAAAGTGTATCATCAGCACGAAAATCTGAAAGCGCACATATCATCTTAGCTAAACCTATGAACTAACAGAAACTGTCAGGAGCCAGTATCTATTTGTTAAAAAAAAAATGAAGAATCAAAATTGGCTCAAGAAACACTAGCGTATGCATTATTCTGAATTGCCCTTGCAAGTTATAAAAGAGGCGGCCAGGTGCACAAGGCTTCCCCCAATATGGGATATGAGGAGTGTTAATGTATGCAATCTTATTTTTACAAGCTAATTTTCTTGTTATATTTACCATGAACAAAGCTGATCCAATTATCCAAAGTTTAAAGCGACGAAAATAAAAAAAAACTCAAAGTCTGCTAATATAATAATCTCTTTTTAAGTAATAGGAAAAATGATAAAGGTAGTGCAAATTTGATTTGGAAGAAGATGCTATTGAATCCAAGTCAACGGTTACTATATGCTCCACGAGTTAGATACTTTTGTGATAAAACAGTATATCAAGCATGCAACAGTTGGAAAACCTGAATGCCCGATACATTTGTGGTAGTGTACAGGATTTTCAATCACCATGAACATTAATGATACTTTTAAACAAGCTAATAAAGTCAGGCTTACTGGCCGACTGTGTGTATAAAGATGCATCACAGAAATAAAAAAAGGAAAATAACTCATTTATAATGCTGGTGATTTACATGGAAGTTTGATACTGATCAAGGTGATTTTATGTTTTTCCCAAGTGAAGTATATAACCCAACATGTCCTGTTACTAATAGAATATCATATATATGTGTCCCAGCACCAAGAAAATGAGCATCGATGTTGAAGGAGACACTGTAATTTAGAGTTGGGTACACTGTACTACTTAGAGTTGGGATCACTTTGAACATCAATCGATTGACGATGTGAAAGATTTATTATGGTTCTGATACCAAAAGAAGGGTTACTTTTGCAGTTCACAAACCACACTTCCCATAAAAGAAGTATAAATTTATACCCAACATCAAGATTCGGCATTTGCATCTCATTCTAATTGAAGATTCTGATTAAGAAAGTCCTCTTTATCAGACTAAGAATTCAGAAAGCCACAAACTGTGGTTAAGTAGTTTTTTTTCTTATTATACGTGTTAAACTGAGCATACATCCACTAACAGAGATTCAAGAACACCCTAAAATTAAAGACAAAATGAGGCGCTTAAATAATAATAAAGAAGGTCCTCTCCCTTACCCCCAAAGTTTTCCTCCTCGGGAGGCTTCCCTCCGCCATTCTCCTCGGCGGACCAACCAGCGAAGGAGTCAGGCGATCCATTGGAGCCACTCCAAGGCTCACCTCTCCGTTCCCCACCGGCCGCCTCTCCGGCAGCGAACACCAGACCAAATCGGCGATCAAGCGGACGGAACCGCACACGGAGAAGGACGGGCGGGGATTCCCTGCACCTGAGGCCAAACCGTATCTGGAGCGAGCTGGGACACGACGGGCGACATGCCGACGCCATGATCGAGATCAATTCCACGAGCTCGTCTCGAAGATCGAGGGCGAGGGTAAGTAGGGTTTCTGCCTTGGAAAAGGAAAGGAGGCGGAGGAGGAGGACAACGACGGAGAAGAGGAAGATAAATGAAACCCCAAAATTAAATTAAAAAAAGGGGGATAAATTGGGGACGTTATTCCACTTCCTGGTGGTTTGTAGCGGTCGTTATGGCTTAAATCTCATTATAACGGACTTTATACCGGTTAATGCGTCGCAACACTGGGAACAGGGAGTTCCTTTCTCTGGTCTTTCTTAGCCTCCTTCGAAGTGTCTTCCCCATGTGGATCGGAAAACAGGTGAGTTGAGGAAACCCAAGGTATATTTGATCGGTTCCATTCATTTTCGATTCTCGTTGAAGATTTTCTTGGTCTGTAAGCTTCGATTCGTTGATCGAGTTCTGTCCCTTCGATTCCTTGTATCCATTTCTCTCTTCTGTTTCGTTTTCGCCGGAAGAGTCGGTTCTTAATGTGACCCTTCCGATCTTTGATTCAGCGATTGAGTTCCTGCGGCAAATTTCATGAGTTCATTCTTGGTCTGCGATCTTGGATTGCGTGCACGTCCCTTTGATCCCTTTCTTTCGTCTTTTTCGCTAGACCAATCGATTCTTGATGAGAACTTGTGATCTTTGAATTCGTTGCTGCTTCTTTTTCGGTAGAACAATCGATTCTTGATGAGAAACTTTCTTGGTACGTGGTCTTTGAATTCGTTGTTGCTTGAATCTGGTTAATTATTTACTGTGCTGCATTTTAATCTGATCTTTAGGTTTGCCAACTCGTATAACATTGTGTGATAATTGAGAAATTGGTCGAAAATGCGTATTTTGTGTTTAAGGATTTGGCCAACACCTTCAATATGCTTAGCGGATGGGTAAGGATCTTGCACTTGAAACTGCCAGCAGTAAATGATTGACGTAGAACAGACGAAACTGGTTTAGCTGCTTCTGACATAGAGTTTCTTTTGATGAAAGAAAAGAGTTGGTTCCCGGTGATAGTGGTAGATATGTATGGCTATCTACCATCTTCAATTCAGTCCAATCCCTTTCTTCTTCTCTCTCAACCTCAGTCTCCATATAAGAATTTAAGGTCATAGTTTTCTTGGGATCTTAATATCCTTTATGACAATAGTGATTAGATTGTTTCAAAATTTCAAGAATCCAAACATTAAATAAAAGGGGAAAAACAAATAATCTAGGCATGGAAATATTGATGAAGGGCTTTGCAATTCTGGGCTAGTAAACTTTTCTTCTCCGGTGCATGATTCATAGGAGGATCTGCAGTTTTCATCTCCACATTATGAGCTTTGGTGTATATTTGGAAAGAAATGATTGACACACCTACAACTCAGATTACTCATCTTGCTTAAGCATGAACTGCAATGGGTAATGTAGTTTTCCTGTTTGCCAAGTGTGATTCTGGTATTAGGTGGACTGTGCTTATGAAGGTTTCTTGTGTTGTTGAAGTTGTTCTTCGTAGCTGATTATAATAGGAAGAACTCTAGAAAGATAAGCACAATGTTCTTCTTTCTCCTCCTCTTAAGCCTCCCTCCCTCCCTTCGTAGAACTCATCATCAATAAATAACCTTCTCATCCTTCATCTGAGTCTCTTCTTCACTTTATTCTAGACAGTACAATTGCAATCGATATCGAGCCTTATTGAGGAATGCGATTGATTCACTAGGCTGAAGAGGAGAATGCTGGCAATCCTTGGCCTCAAAGCAATTCTATGAAAGAACAGAGAAGTTTTTCTACACAACCAAACTACAATGGCTATAAAAAATGTTGCACTCAATTGAAACTTGCAAGGCCCAGCTGAGTTCCATCTGTGGGTAACTTCATGAGCCCAGGGGCTTCCTTTGCACAAACATCACTGGATTCCCTTTGCATTTGAGAAAATGTCTATGATCTTCTAAGAATCTTTATCTCAGTTTATGCCAAGAGCAACATCGATAGACAGGTATTTATCCGGGAGAAGTGGATTTTCTATAAACTAGGAAGCTGAAAAATCATGGCTAAGCTGAATAGAAATCGGTAAATCTCTGCTCGTTTAATGGAATTCATGAACAGGTAGTTAGAGAGGGTGGCTTGGATAATAAAATCCAACTAGGTAATGAAAATCAACGTGATGTTAAGGAATCTATACACCTAGAAATTTATTTCGTACCATTGAATATTTTCTAATTATTTCTTCTTAAAAATTAAAAGAAAAAAAAACTTTCGTTTAAACGACAAATGTTAAGAAGAACAAAAGATTAAGATTGATTGTTTATGGTTATGGTTAATTATGATTATTTCGTATCGTCACTTTTTTACGTACTATTCGGCTTATTATACCTGGTGATGTAGAATTATAGATTGAATCATTACTTTTACTATCATGAGGATAAATCAAACCTCCTTTTCTATTTTCACCTAAATATATAAGATATTTTAAAAAGTAAATGTCTTTTCTTAGTAGAAGCGTTGGGAAAGACAATTTTAATAATAACAAAAATAGCTTCACTGGGACACAATTAAATAGGTTGGGCTGCATTTTAAAGTTTTGCAAAAAAAAAAAAAGAGAGAAAAATTTAAACTAGATTAAACCAACTTAGATGCAAAAGGGAACCAAAAGCCAGATGTGCCAGTTGGTTCGGATCAAAGACTCGATCATTGAAACATAGCTCCCACAAGTACCATTATTAGGTCCATCATAAAACATCACAGGCTTCTCTCCCACAAATACCATTGTCAGGTCTGTTTCTCTCGAAATGGTTTTGTTATACTGTTAAAACAAATAAGAATATAAATATATATTTTGAAAAATCTCATATTATTAAAGACTGAAAGAGTTGGACAATATATCTATAGAGTTTGTTGCCATAACTATTTATGAATCCGATAAATTATCTGAATAAAAGTTCTCGGCTGTCACATATTCTTCAGGAATTCTCCTTTTTTTTCGTGCCACTCTATAAATAAATACTAAAAGGATACAGAAGATAGAAATGAATCTTTATCACTTCAAAATATTTCAGAGATGGTCGGAGCACTTATGAGAAACAGACACCAATATATATATATATATATATATATATATATTATATCAAACATGTTGTTTGATTTTTTGTAGTTGTTATTCTTTAAGAAATGAAGTCACTGGATATTTTGGTGCACCACATCACGGCCCAAACCATAATGCTATTTCAGAAAGCACGCAAGAGAATCATGTCGTTTGATGGTGCACAAACTTTCCATTACTCGAAGGTCTTCACTACAAATACACGCATGAGGTTATCAGAGGTAGCTACTAATTGCCCTCAATAAATGCTTATATTGCAAATACGTTTCCTGTCTCGTAACCCACCTAATATTACCTTTGAGCATGCATGCGAAACATATTATGTGATCGATGTTTATAATAGATTTCGGACCAATTATTCTCCTCACATTTGTGTCGTTTCTTCTTTGTTTTAGGGGGTAGGCAATGGCAGCATTCTGGTTCTTCGTCGTCACGGCATGGCTCACTTTGCTTCCCATGCTATCGAGCACGGTCGACGGAGCTAGGGTTCCGGCGATGTTTGTTTTCGGTGACTCGTTGCTGGATCCCGGGAACAACAACCACCTTGTAACGTTGGCGAAGGCCAATTACGCCCCCAACGGCGTCGATTTTGTAGGAGGAGTAACCGGAAGATTCTGCAACGGCGGCACTGTTGCAGACCATTTGGGTAAAGTCCATGACTCCCTCCTTTTTCCTTTCTCCTCATCTCTCTCATTCGTCTCAAGCTGATAAAGAAGAAGAAGAAGTTAATACACTTAATTTACAATCAACAACTATTTGCAGGTTATCTTTATTGCAGTGTTTTCCTTTTTCCTTTTGGTTTGTGCAGGAAGGTGAGAATGCACGTTTATCTGTGTTATTTCATGCATGCGTACTACATATCTATTTATATAACACTTGGTAATTTGACTGCATTGTGCTATGCAACAACAAAAATCTTCCTATAAATCACTTAAATATTGTTGGGTAACTGACAAGAATCCATGCAAAACAAGAACATACTCTATGAAAATATTATATTTATATCCTGCAGTAATAAATTAAAGGAGAAATTCTTGATTTTTTTTTTTTGCTTTTTCTTGAAAAGCATCCCTCATTTTCAAAAATGTCTAACAGGTCTCTTTTTTTTTTCGCAATGGTGAACTGATCCAACTACATCATTTTCAGCAATGCTAGAAAAATACTGTGACATAATACAAAAATATTGTGTTAATAGTGTTTTTGTACTGCATTACAGTATTTTTCCAACATTATTGAAAACACTACAATACAATGTAGAAACATTGTAAAAATATTATTTTTATAAAATCTGTATAAAAAAAGACTGTATTATTTTATTTTTTATTGTGATATAATATTTTTCTAGTATTATTGAAAATTCTATAACACAATATATAATTAAATTGATTCATCCTATAGTCCGATCGATATATATGAAAAGGAAGTAAAAAAAAGGAATAAAAGAGTAGATGGTTGGTTGTCAAGTTCAAAATATTTCAGGTATTAGGAACAAAAAAAGCTATCAAGAATTCTGAAAGCTTTCCAAAAAAAAATATTTTTTTTTCTGAAAATTCACCATTTATAAGGTAGATTATAGACCTTTGTATTAGTTTGTTCTCTATCTTCTACTACTGCTCCAGCAGTGATATCTCAAAAGCCAACCATATTTAGATGTGCAAGAGCTCATGTGAGCCTACTTTGCAGGCACTCTATTGGGGCTTCCTCTGATCCCTCCGTTCAACGATCCCAACACCACCGGTTCACATATCCTTCGAGGCGTCAACTTCGCGTCCGCTGCTTCAGGCATCCTCAACCACACTGGAAGACTATACGTGGGTGATCATCCCAACACACACACACACACCCAGCATTAATTGTTCGTCTCAGGCTAATCAAACATGGATGTCATGATCAGGGCAACTTGTTCTCCATGGATGACCAGATTGCCAACTTCAACATCACATTGCAGCAACTCAACTCACAGTTGGGAGACGACACCGAGAGCTTCCTCGCAAAGTCGCTCTTCTTCCTCAACATGGGGAGCAATGACTACGTCAACAACTACTTGCTCCCGTTCTCCGATAAGCCGAACAAGTACACACCGGAGGCTTTCAGTGACCTACTGATCCGAAACTACAACAAGCAGCTAATGGTATGACGACACAGCAAACCCTAACTTAACGTTGCATCACACTGACACTGCTTCTTCTTCGCTTAGAACTTGTATGACTTGGGGGGAAGAAGGTTCCTGGTGGCCAGCCTCGGGCCTCTGGGCTGCATACCGAACCAAATCGGGAACTCCGGCGGCAGCATTGACTCCTGCGTCGGCCAAACAAATCAGCTGGCTGCTCAGTTCAACACCAAGCTCAGAACCATGCTTGATGAACTCACCGGGAGCCTTCAGGGATCGTACTTTCTCTACTGGGATACTTATTCTTCTGCAACAGAGATCATAGATAACTATGCAGACTACGGTACCAATTAACTACGCTTCGCTCATCACTTGGGTCGTTCTGTGATGGAATGTGATGCTACCGGTTGTCGTCTCAGGGTTCAAGCATCAGCACAGTGCGTGCTGCGGCGGAGGGCGGTCGAAGGGACAGATAATATGCCTGCCATTGCTTCCCCTGGAGTGCCACAACCGGTCGCAGTACGTGTTCTGGGATCCTTACCACCCTACTGATGCCTTCAACGCCATTGTGGCCAAAGGAGCGTTCCAGGGAACCCTGCAGGCCGCCCATCCCATGAACGTGCAGCAGCTCGTGGAAACCTAAGTGGCGATCGGGCTACGCAATCGATGCTCAAAGCAGTGCGAAAGGGTGCATTACATGGAGATGCGACATGCCATATAGCCTCCAATTCTGTGGTTTCCTTCTGCACCCAATCTTCACATGATGATTAATGGTTTGCATCCTCTAATACGAGCCAAATTGATTTGGAAAAACATATATGAGACTGGATTGCATCTTAACCAAAACTAATAGAATTAATCCACTTTTAATTTTCATCTTATGCATGGATATTCTACTAACATATTCCTCTATTTTTCTTTTTATTGAGTCGATCGATGAATTAGATACAAGAAGAAGAGAAAAGAAAGAAATCCAGAGATCCGAAATATCAATGATTATAAGTTCTACATCTATTCTTCTTCTCTATCATGCATATCTATCATCTCAGGGGGAAGACTTCCATCTGCTGTTGACCATGCGTGGAACCTGAAGCCAGTCAACATGCGCATGAACATCAATGAGACACACACATATATATATATAAACTTGTGCATGATATGTTGTCCCCCACAGTGCCTATGATGTGCGTGCAATTCTTCTTCTTCTCTCTTTTTCTTTTTTCTGGGGTGTGAATCATGCTGTGGGGATGTGTGGTCCGCAACGTACGCTCAGCAGCATTATTGCATGGCCCAGCATCTCCCATGCCTCTCCCTGTATCAACAGTCACCTCATGAGAGCCCCACCACCCCTTCTTCCCTAAACGCATGGTTGTCCTTCGGAATTCTGAAGGCGTTGCTTCAAATCATCGACGACAAGTGGGCCGACGCCTTAAGGTTTTCTTCTCTCTCACCGCCACCCCTTGTCGCTTGCTGTCACGAGCATCACGCCAGAGGTCATTTTGCAGATAAATCCAAAAATAATATTCATAAGGTTATGTAAATATGCATTTAGCCATATTTTTAAATATTTATTTAAAAATATTATTTTCGTGACTCGATCTTTTAAGATTATGAATCTGATGTGATAAAATTGATTCGTCCTGAAATAAAATTAAATGATTCTATCTGATTCCATAAGATGACTTTATCGAAAAAGAAATCTTTTGCAAGTCTGTAGAGGGTCAAGTCAACTCCATTCATCTTGATCCCACCCTGAAGGGTTCCTCCAAAACTCATAAATGATGTGCCCAATTGATTAAAATACTTATTATTAAAAAAATTAAAAACCTAAGGGAGTGGAGGGTTTAAAAGTAGATAGACAAATATTTTGATAGTTGAAAATAGACATTTCCTTAGATATATTGTTTGAGCCTACTCAAATTAGTACTACAAGTAGAGTTAAATATGACTAGAGTAACTTTATTACAAAGATCTTAATAAACTTTTAGTTCAACAATAGAGATTGTCTTACATACTGCTAAATGATAGAAAAAGATACATGTAATTACACTTTGTTGTTGTTCTATCCCAAAACTTTTATTAAACCCTATGAAGCATGAAATATTAAGCCCAAAAAAAGATCATACACTTGTTTCTGATAGTTATAATAAATAGGTCCTTGATCAAGTGTGGCTAAGAAATTTAAATTCCATGATCAAGTGTGTCCATGTTTATATGTGTGCCACAAGCTTTTTAGTACACAAAGCTAGTGGCCATCCATTTCTGATAAGATATACTAGTGGGCAAGATGATGTGTGGCCAATAAAAATAAATCAATTAATAAACAGAAACAATTTTCCATTGAAACAGAAACATGAAATTATTGCCAATAAATCTAGAGAGAAAATGGGTTATATTACTCTTAACATGGAACAAACCACATATTTTAAATAGGACAGAATCCAAGGACCTGTATAAGACAAGCCCAAACTATTCCATGTCCAATGATGATCGCTAAGAATCCCCAGTACTCTCAGCACAATCATTTGTCAGAATTTGTCCTTGGTTATGTTCTATTTCATGCAAGAGCACATTTGGAAAGAGTGTTGTGGTCACTATTTGATTCATATTATGCAAAGATATATATATGCTTATAATCAAGATTTTGATCCATGATTTTTTTTGTTTGTATATTATCCCATCAGAGAGAAAAGCAAAGAAACAGATACATGCAACTGACAGTATCCCTCATGCATATATCAAAATCATGAAGATGTTGAATGTCTTCACACAACTTGGACATCATACAAAAGGTGGCTTTCCATCTTGACAAGGTGGACAAACAAAGTCAATGGCAGCTTGACTGCAGAACTTCCTTGTTGTGTTCCAATGGATTAAATAGCATTTAGATGATGTTGCTCAGATTGCATTGTAAAGCAAAGTAATAACAATGAAATAATATTGTTTGGATATCTCATGAAGGAATCAATGCCATTTGGTGGCTAATTTCTCAAGTCAAAGGATGTCAGAATAGGGACTGGAGACTAATATTATATAGCCTTGCATCTGAGAATGATCAGTGGTTATTGATCCATGACTTGCTATCCATCCACTGTGGGAATGGGGACATACACTGTCTTGCAATAGTCTATAACAGGAAAATGAGTTTGACCATGTCATAGCAAATGATCTCATGTGGATGTGGTAATTGGTACAAGCCTTCATGCAGATGGATACACATAATGTCACAAGAAAGTTCTTCTAGTCAGGAAAATGTTCATTCAAGAGATAAAAATTGAGAAAGGATAAAGAATGTACAAAATGCCCAAACAGTGCATTAACTTGTGCAACAATGCATTAACATGTCTCAACAGAGATATGATTACTAAATATTTGAAGAGTCAAATGATCCTTGTTAAATTTGACCAAACTCCTATATGTTAACCCTAATTTATTTGGCTCTTAACTTATGATATCATTGTCAAGTTACAAAGTAGCTAAACATTGGCATATGAATTAAAATAAATATTTAGAAAATGTTCATATGGGAGATGACTACCAATAGTCTCGTATTACTTACTATTCATTGAAAGGAAACCTTACTAACTCATAAATTATTTTTCCAAAGGCAAAAATGACTATTGCCTAATACCACGCATTACATTGTTCATAAAAAAATCAGACCACGCCAATGCATCCTGATGGCCAGAATATATTTCAATAGAAAAATGGGCAGACCATATTGTAGATTTATTACCCTCTCTAAGAACACTAAAAAGGATTAAGGCTTAACAAAAGTATAATATCCAAAAAATATTATTATCGAATAGTAGCTCTAATAGTCAAAATGTTTATTGATATTTTTCACTCAAATTCGACAAGAGTCAGCTAAGTTTTTGGACTAAATTAATGCTTCATCCTGTGTGTATTAATCCTCTCCAATTTTTCTAAATATTTTCTCCATTTTTCTATAATGGTGTTTTGATATCACACACACACACATATGGTGTTTTGATATCATACACACACACACACACTCACACACACACACACACATATATATATATATATATATGTGTGTGTGTGTGTGTGTGTACATAAGTTATATGTATATATATACAATGCTTCCTTTGGGCTCTCATCCTTCAGTACAAAGACATAAGTTACGTAGAGCGAGTCAAAAAGAAGTGATCCACGTACGTAAAAGGCTCAAAGATCTTAGAACTCTCACAGGTGTGTTTGCATGCGTGGAGAACATTGTAAACAGAGAAAGAGAAAAGGCCTGAGACAAATACGAGAAAGCAAGAAAGAATAGTAGAAGTGCAGCACTTCTTACACAGTTTAAACTGTCCATCCAAAGACACGTTTTGTAGACAATGGCAGATAGCACCACCAACCTTTTCCACAGGTGTCTGCACCCATTATGACCGCCCTTAACTCGACAAGAAGTCCAAGTAGAACAAGAGAGAGGAAGAAGAAGAAGGAAGAGAAAACCCTAAGTAAAGACCGCAAGCAAAGGAACAACCCTAACAACAGTGGTGGCAGCTAGCAGCAGCTCAGAAAGGAGCGACCCCCATGTTTGCAGCAGCTGCCGTGGCGTAGAACCCGTCCTTGGGCAGAACATCCTCACCCTCCTACAAAGAACCAAGGCAAGAACAAAGGAAAAGTTACGTGAGATTCTTCGTTAAAGGAGCCAGAGAGAGGATCGAATTTGTTTTGGCTTCTTTACCGGCTGGCGCACGCTGGCCTTCTTCAGACCCTGGTCGGGCATCAGACCAAAATGGATGTGTGGGAAGTGAGCCCACTGGAAGAGGAGAAATTGAAGAACGTGAGATGAAAGATAGGCACAAGAGCGAGATAGAGGAAAAGGCTTACGTTCTTTGCAGCGGCGCTGAAGGCCTCTCTGTGCGTGATGTCGGGATTCCCAGCCTTAATGCGTTGGATTTCGTCCCTGCCATCAACCATTACCAGCATCAAGAAAGAGAAGAAACGATGAGAGCTTCAAGAAAGTTTTAGAGTTCTCCTCATCTTATTTACTCCCCTCGTGGTTTATCTTTTACTCTTCACTTACTTGATGAACCGGTTGTATGCGGAAGGAACTCTCTGCCTCTTCTCTGGAGCTGCACAGAAGAACATCATCGAGATCACCACAACAGTAACTAAAGGACAAAGAGGTGCAGTTGGGGCTGGTTTTATCGGTTGCAGGTCTGGGAACTATTTTGTGAATAGTCATGGTCGAACATGTTGGTGCTATGGACAAGATGATATGTGCTGGATTGATATCCAAGGGAACAAAGCAGAAGAGAGGAGCGAAGAGCTACTATTGCTACAGCGACGCTCTTGAAGGCGAGCAGCGGTGCAGTTAATGCAGCTGGTGGCTTTCTTCTGTTCGACCACGGACCGGAAGGCAACCTCCCATGTTGAGGAGTAAGCCTCATCTTAATTTACATTCAATAGCTCGGCATTTTGCCGCTCTTGCAATCATTCCTTTTGCCGTGTGATTATGAGAGTGGAATCGCAAGGATCTCAAAGTGAAGAAGGTGTTGGTGCAGCTGCTATAGTACTTAACACATTTTATCCAAGCCAGATGAACGTTGAGAACATGGAGTGAGGAAGTGGAGAAACAATCTCACGTCTGTTGACGACTGGGGTCCGTGGAAGCTCTTCTCCTACTCCTTTCACTGGCGCCATAGTGTTGCAGTTGCTGATGGTATTGTTGTTGGTGGTGGAGGTGATGCTGTTGATGAGGCGGCTGCTGCTGCTGCTGTTGTTGTTGTTGTTGCCATTGCACAGAATGGATGGATCCAGC